ATGCGGCAAGGGACGGCGCGCTCCCAGCCTCCGAGGTCCCCAGCCAAGTGCGCTGGGGTAGACCACTGGGGACGGGCACGGCCTGCTCACGCAAATTTCCGGGTTACCACCCGGCACACACCTGGCTCGCTCCATCGCGCCGCTGCCCCGCTTCTCACTGCTCACTGCCAGGCATCGCCCGTAGCCGACTGCGCTCAGCTCACTGCGGCACTGCCGCACTGCAGAAATCTCTGCGCGTGCGCCACATTTTATAATGCGCATGCGCCGAGCTGCATAAGTGCGAGTGATGTAGGTCGGTGGCAAAGTGCTTGCCTAGAAAGATGAGGCCCTGGGTTCGAGCTCAGTCCCTGAAAACATGTCAGTATTTGTTTTTGATCTACCAAAATACTGTAATTTCTTGTTAACTTTTACAGATTTTTATAAAGTAACATGGTCAGCTTACTCTGATCCTGGGAGCCAGTAGAAAGTAAAATGTGAAATTAAACTTTGAAAGTGTATGGTGTAAATGTTTGTATACTGAAAAAAATTAAGAAAGATACTGACCTCTGTAATGATGAAAACTTACAATGAGATTCCTTTGATTCAAATCCTATGATGTGAGGCCGCACTGTTACCGTAGGCAGGTTACTCCATGTTCTCACTGTTCCTCCTCTGCAAAGTTAAAAGGGAGTGTGTCTATATCATACAATTTTTTGACAATTAAACAAGTTAATAAACAAATTTAGAGAAGACAAGGGGGGATGGTATAAAATTTTTAAATTTAATAAAATTCAAAGAAAAATTAAATTTACAATAGGGCCTACTACACACTGTAAGTACTACGAAGTGTTGGCTCTGAAAAGAGGAATTGAATACTACAAAGGATCTTCCCCTCGGAGTAAGAACTGGTACTTGTTACCACTGCTGTTCACTAATCTCCGTGTCTTACTGATTTTTTTCCCTTAGCCTCTGTCCTTCTTCCTTGAAAGGCCCCACATTGCACATGGTGCCCATTAGTCATGCCTCTTCGGGTTTCCTTGGCTCTGACTTGAGAATCGTTTCTTCATTTTAGTTTAGGGCTTTGAACCTTTTCACTGGTCATGAAATTCTTTGTAATTAAAATAAGTACTATCTAATAAAATTATATTTAATTCTCAACTCTAATGTACTTATCTATCTTGTGTTTTGTACCTATCTACCACACTTTTTTTTTTTTTTTTTTTT